TTCTGCTCAAACAGCTGCACGAGACTCAGGTTATGGTTTCCTTTCCTCTGGAACTAGACCTGAGATGCATACAAGGAAAAGCAAGCCTCAGGGGAAAATGGAATTTTCTCAAACCTGTTTCCAAACTGTAATTGGAGTGGTCTCTGCTGAAAGGGTGTGAACACTCTTGCTGCAGGGCTCTTATGGCTGACACAAAAAATCCAGTTTGCAGCTGGGGCAACAAGAGTAGAAGCACCACAGGCAAGAGGTCGGGGTCCTCTCCCATGTGCCACCTGCGACTGCTGTCAGAGGCAAGGTCCAGGGCCTGGCAGGTCCTTGCAGGTGCCAGGCTGACCAGTGTCTTACCCAGCCCAGAAAATACCACACAATATGCAGACAGACATTTCCATGTCAGCATCTGTCCTGCTGGGGGATTGCTGCAAAACAGAATATCTGAGATTTGCTCTCCTGCCCCTATTTCTTATGCAAACTCTGCCAGACCAGCGATGACAATGGGTAACTTCTGCCAGTGCTGGAGCAGAGGCCGAGTTCTGCCTGCTTTTGCTTCAGGGCAGACAAAAGAGAAATTTAGTGGAAACAAATCATGGCACAGTCAAGAAAAGAGAAGGAGGAAAATACAAACAGTACTGAATGCTTTGGCGTTCACAGTTTAATGCGCAGCCCAACCATACTCCTTGACAGAAGCTAAATAACAGAAAACCATGGAGGACAGGGACCTCATAGATGTTTCTTGGCCCCTCACATTGATCTTTCCAGAAGAAGAAATTATCTGATTCTTCCCAAGATTATTGTAAATTATCTACTGGATTTAATAAAATATTCAGGTATTCCAAGGACACACAGGAGAGAATCTGGTGTTGTTATTCATAATTACAAAGAAAAGAAAAAAACAGAGAAAATACAGTGTGACAAACCAATTTGAGTGACTTGGCAAATGTGCAGGGTTAATTGTCACTTTATTGTTAAAGATGAAGATAATAAAATTGTATGGCTCCATTCTTATTGCTGTGTGTCAAAACTCCCATAATTTGGAGATGTAATAATGCTTCTCCTGAAATAACATAGACCTGCTCTTTGTGTATTTATATGCCCTTTGTGTGTTTTTCTGCTTTCTGACCTCTTATCTTTTTCAAGTCCTCTACCCTCCCTCTGTAAATGCTGATGATCTTAATTTATCCTGTTATGGTAGTTATGCTTAGTCACAAATGTATTTTTGTTCCATTCCCTTCAAGAGAACACTTCACAAAGCTTTGGAATAATCAGGAAAGTCATCACAGGCCATGAGAAGTACCTGCCTACAAACCAGCTATAAACTTTCCTTTTAAATCAAGGGGTTTTCCGAGAAATAATGGAGACTTATGAAAAGCATATTGTATCAAAGTTATTGATAAAAGACAGATATTTCCATGCCCACTCTGAAAGGGGATAAAGGACATCTCTTTTCGGCCTAACATAAGAGCATAAACTGAGTATAATTCATAAAGCATGAGGTACTTCCTACAAAGTATCCTAAAGACCTTCTTAAAAGGTTTAAGAAAGTTTCCTAACATTACTACTTCCTCTGCAAACAGGTATTGCTACCCATCATGGTCAGCACCACAATCTCAATACTGCAAGCCATCCCATGAGCCCTTTTTGTTGAATCGGGGCTGAATATGAATTTCATCCTAACTTGTACCTGTTGCCAAACCACTGAAGCTGATGTTTGTGTGTGCTCCCTTATGCCTGTGCTGCAGGAGACTGGGCCTTTCTTTCCAAGTTGTGGTAAATGGAAATACCTTGGTTGACTTTGTCAACACTACATTCATCTCCTTATAGGCTGGATTATTAACCTGAATGCCCAATAAAGGATAGCAGAGGTTGCTGCCTTCGCATCCAACAGCACCACAGCAAACCCGTGAAAGGCCAGAATGGGCATGAAGAGAACAAAGCACCACATTTCTCACCTGCTATAACTGCAGAAGGGTGTGAGACCTTTACATTTTTCCAACTTCCCCCAGAAAGTTGCTATTTTACCCATCAAATAGCCAAGGTCAGCTTCAGATAAGGATGGAAGTCCCCATTTTCACTGCCAATGCTCTGCCAAGGGATGAAGGAGCTCCTTCTAGATGGATGGTTTGCAAACAGACTTATTAAGACAGGATATTCCCTGTGCATTATGAAGAAACACAAGCTTACAGATTGCAGAAGAAACCCCTGAAAACTGCCAGTGTTTTAAAGAAATATTTTTCAAATGACACAGTTAGGCAAAAATGTCCTGTTTTGAATAACTACAAGAATGTTCTCTCTGTGGGGAGATGTGAAGAGCAATTATGTTCCCAACTTTGCAAGCGTGAATTACAGAACTGAAAATGTATTTTGCTTTAGAAAGGCTCGCTTTGATTTTGTTCAAGTAATACTTGAGAATCTGCCCTCCCAAATCTGCAGAACTATGATAAAAATATTTTTAAAAGGTAGATGCATTTCCAAGCCACACATAAAGACTAGCAATTGTTCGGTAATTCCATTTAAGCCTAAAATGTTTGATGGCTCGGTGCTCTTGTCATATTTTAATGGTATTTGCTGTAATCAGGCAGATTTTTGTTCAGCTCTGTTCAGACATTCTCATTTTTAATCCAAAATTTGCATCTATATCCAATAAAATATATCCTCCTTGACTGTGTGCCAAAAAGCAGCTCAGAGTTCAAAGACAGCCTGGTGAAAAGACTGTAGGTTCACGTGGAGCTATCATGGAGACTCCATTTCTCAGTTCTCAGGACATCATCTCCTCCAGGACCTGACACTTGTGAAGAAATGAGCTGTATTTCCTGATGTGGACTTCTCTTCTTGCACCTCTGTTTTCTCTCTGGGTCCCTGGTGCAAAATCTTATGAGTTTTAACAGCACTGTCAAGGGAGGCTTTGTAGGCACTCATTCAGTTTAGATCCTCAACACATCCTTTTGAGAAGACTCAGGGGATGTATCTCAAATTAGGCACTATGGGACAAAGTGACCTAAAAATCACATGCTATTGGCAGAAAATGTGAGTCTTTGTCAAAATCAGCATCTACCAAAATATCCATTCTGATTGATATTATAGCTTGCTTCATGCTTTCTTAAAAACACCTGAAGGGGAGGGGAAGTATAACCATAGCTACTGAAATAAATGGCTGCTGTCCCCTGGGCTGTGACAGCAGCATTTATCTTTCTACATCCCATGTGCGGGAGGAACAAAGAGAATTCTCCAGCTTGGAGCTATTTTCTGTCAAAAATCTTAATGTAATTTTTGTACAGTGAATATTTATAACTGTTGTTAGTGTCAATACAATTTTTTGCAGTTAGTGCACTTATTTACATTTTAATGGCCAAGCCAATAAAGATTTATGCACCTGTCATCTGAATTTTCCACAAAAGTGGTGATTGCTTAAAAAAACCCCAGTATCTCCTGCAGAATACTCCCTCTCCAAGCATCTTTTAGATGCCTTCATTGTTTTGGGAAACAGTAGGCTAATAACTCTAAAAGTCATAAGTTAAACCCAGCAAAATCCTGCATCAGTCTTCATGGCAAAACTTCTGCATATTACAAAAGCACTTGCTCAGGAACCATTTTTTTTCTCAGTCTGTTTTTCAAACCCTGTCTCTTGAATGGCAAAGGCTGTTTCATCACTTTGATATATCTCAGCTGCACAAACTACAGTACTTTTGTAGTTTGAGGAGATTTGCTGTTTAGTGTTGACCTTGTTTTGATTTTAATGCAGTTAAAGTCATAGTTAGATCCCTGCTTTGTGTGCAGGCACACCACTCAGGAGGGACACACAGTGTTCCAGCATCCACTCCCCTGCACAAAACCTCCTCCAAAATGTGAACTATGGAAAAAACACCGAAGGCATCCCCTCTGTGCCTGCCCACGGTCTTGGCGGAGCAGCCTGGGCTGCCAAGGCACATGTGTGCCCTCATTCTGGCCATGCTTTTCCTGGAGGCAGCCAGCCCACAAACCTTTTATATTCCCACCCAGAGGAGGCTGGTGAGACCCACACAGCTGCCAGGGCTCTGCAGGATCATCTCTTTCCATCTCGGTTATATATTTCTAGACTAGCTCGGTTATGTATTTCCCTGCTGTCCATCCCTTGCTGGATTCCCCAGTGGGCTGGTTGGTGGCTGCGGTCACCAGGAGGAGAGGCAGGCTCTCTCCAGCTCTCTGTTGTCACTCCAGGCAGAGCTGAGCCAGCTCTGTTCCAGCTGAAGCCGAGGGTCTCAAGGACATAAAAGTATGGGGTTTCTGATCAGTTTAGCTAGGGTTCGATATACCGAGTAGTTTTAGCATAGAGTTCAGATTCGAGCTGACATGAAGCCAGGGCTAGGAGCCAGGCTCCAGCAGCACCCCAGCTTCATGCCCTGCTCTTGTAAGGCACCGCTCATAGTCACAGCTCTGAGTCTCCACACATCACCTGCACTAGAGCTGCAAGAGACGCTGGAGGAGCCCCGGTCCCTCAAATGGCTTCGGTGCAGAGCTCCCGCTGTAACCAGAGCACCGTCAAACCTGCGCTGCTCGCCCTTGCTGTGGTCTCCAGACCTTTGCGGCTTGCACAGGAACACACATTTTAACCGCGACACTGAAGATGTTTTCTCCCGTAGGAGCAATTCCCTCTGCAGCTCCGACCATGCAGCGCCTCCATTCCCAAGCCCCTGAGCAGCCCAAGCAACGCCTCCGAGCATCTCCCCGAGAAAAGGGTGGCCGGGGGGTTTCTTTCACCTCATCTTTCAACACCTCGTGCCTCCCCCGCTGCCCGAGACCTCCCAGTAAATGTCACCCCTGCGGCCGCCCCCCGGCAGACGATGTTCGAGCCCCCCGTGCCCGGCCCGGGGCGGGGGTCCCCGGGCGGCAGCAGGAGGCGCGGCGAGCCTGGCCGCGGCAGCCGGGAGCTGAGCTCACCTCCCTCCGCCCCCCCGCTCCCTTCTCCTCCCCCTTCCCTCCCTCCTCCTCCGCCTCCTCCCGCGCCCAGCCTGCAGCCGGGATCTCAGTATTATGGCATCGAGGAGAATGGAGACCAAACCCGTGATAACGTGTCTGAAAACCCTCCTCATCATCTACTCCTTCGTGTTCTGGGTGAGTGCGGCGCGGGCACACGGGGACCGCTGGGCACGGCCGGGCACCCCCCGGCCCCCACCTGCCCGGGGCGGGGGGCACAGGGGGCTCCGCAGCGCGGCTCCGCCGGGGCGGCACCGCTGGGGAGCGGGGACGGGGCATGTCCGCCGGAACACGATCTGCGTGCACACACACATTTATATATATATATGAGCTCGCACATATACACACACACATTTCTGCGTATAAAAAATGATGGGTTTTGCCTCCTCTCGCCGCGAGCACGTCCCCGCGAGCCCCCGCGGGGGAAAGTTGCAGGGGTCTCCCCGAAAGCCTCCATAGCCTGGCCGCTCCCCGCCGCCCCTCTGGCCGGCCGGACCGTGTCCCCTCCGCCGGACCGTGTCCCCACGGCCGGACTGTCCCCGCCGCACCCGCGTCCCTCCTCGGGGCGCGGGCGATGCCGCCCCAGCGCCGCCGGTACCTGCGCGCAGCGGGGGCTGCCCTCGCCCCGGCCGCGGTACCCGCGTTTCGTAACCGGGCTCAGGCTCCCGCGAACCATTCTCCTGACCCAGATGCATTAATTGAGTTGCCGCGATTGCCTGACGGGCAGCCCGGCCGTGTTTTTCAGGCGACCCCGAGGGCCGGGGGTTTTCGCCGGCCTGTTAGTCAGCAGATCCCCGGCAGGAGCCGCGTATCGCGGCGGCGATCGGCAGGTTAAAGAGCTTTTAATGGCACAGGGTGACAGCGCACGGTAATGGCCCCGCTGTGTGCAGCTGGAGACCGGCTCGCACAGCGTCGGTACGGCGCTCTGAGGCGCGCTCGTCCCTTCCGAGCTGGCAGTGTCTGTGAAACACACTGACTCAAATCTTCATCTTTCTGCTTAAAAAGGCATTCTAAACAAGGAATTGCTTATTCATGGCAATAACGTTTGACATCCTTGCAGTGAACACAGGACTTCAGCTGTTTCAACTTTAACTTCACAGGCTTTCATTGTTTTTTTAAAGCATAACCAAAAGACATTTTGCTTATCCATACTTATGGCAGTTCCTCGTTGTTATTGGCTCCTTTGTACCTGTCCCCCGATATTTAACATATCCCCCCCCACCCATTCTTTTTAATAATTTTGGTGGCAGCAGAGGTACCTGATGACTGAAATGGATAGGAAGCCAGAAGAATCTGTTGGGTTTTTTGTTGACAAGTAGATTCTTCACATTAGTCTCAAGGAGGTAGGTGGCTAAGTTTATAGACTTACACAGTTTGAAGATTTATCCTTTCCAGTCCTCACTTCCCAGCAGATCTGTAAGAAACCCTTTTCATTCTGTGATGAGTGAGCAACTGCAGGAGCCAAGGCGAATCCATGGCATCTTTTAAAATTGTGTCTTTTTTTTTTTTTTTTTTAAGTGATCATTGTATCTGCTGTAGCCCGAATAAACAGAGGATTGGATGAGCATGCCCGTTGAGCTAGCACATTTCACCGACGCTAATCTCATTTAAAAAGAGAGAATTGTACACTGAGCCAAGCAGCTGGCTGAGGGCATTTGTGCCGTAGGCTGTCAGGATGCCAGGCCAGGTTGACAGCTGGGACCTCGTGGGGTAAATAACACAGCTGAGCTTGGGTTTGGGCTCCAGCAAGGCGGCTGTGCTGGTGGGATGCTCCACTGGGAATTCTTTTCCTCTGAACTGTGGGTCAGGCTCTCCAGTCTCCTGCTCTTCTCCAGGGGCATGGCCACTCTTCCAGTTACTTAACGTTCGACAGCCACCAGAGTTTCTGCTAGTTCTCTTCCTTGAGCCTGGAAAAGGAGAAGAAATCAATGGCTGGAGACAAATCCTGCAGCCATGATCAAAGGCAAATGAAGAATCCTGCTTGCTGTTGCATCTGGTTTCTCAAGGCTCCAGCCTAGGGACATAGGCAGGTCTCAGTGGGAGAAGACAACAAAGGATTCAGTAAAGGTCCAGAGCATTTGACAGTAGATTCTAAGTCTTTACCAGTTCTGTGCTAAAAGGAAGAACAAACACTAACTCACATTTTTGTCCTCTTTCTGGGCTCGGAATCCATTTAGAATAAATTGAAGCAGGATGCCATAGGGAGAGCAAAACCATGGTGTATTCTGGCTGTATGCTCATTTTCTTTTTTTCAGTCAAGTTTGAGAGGTGAGGGATGTATGGACTTCCCTCAACCCCCCCCCTCCATTATTTTCTGATTTTTGTACTCTTATAATCTGCTGGCTCTGGAGTCAGTGTAACTCAACTTGAGTCCTTGTGAATTCTCAGAGCTGAAAATATGGGAAGGATTCTATTGGAGGAACTATTTAATTTTTATTTTCTTGGACTGAGCTAAATACCAGAAGGAAACCATGCCAGCACCACAAATGGCTGGTTTGTAAATTTTTATTCTGACGGCTTTCCCACATTTTTTGGAGAGGTTGTAAGCTGATTTCTGAAGGAGAGAGCTCTGTGTTGCTTAGCTGCAGCTTTCATGGGTTTTTTTTCTAGCTGTGGGAATGGAGCTGTGCTATAACACAGGGCAGAATCTCATCTTGTGATGGGGTGGTGTATGGTGGCAACCCTTTGCCTCTTGGGTCAGGTGGTTACAGATCTGAGGGTGTGAGGAGAAGATGCTTCTTTGCATCCAGTGAGCTGTTCTGAACCATCATGAAGGACTTCTGTGTTTTTCACATTGTTTATAAAATAAGAAAGTCTTGTATGTACGCAGCATATTCCCCCAACAAGTGATTTTTTGTCAGGCTTAAATATGAATTGCATTGTATCTGTGGGACAGACGTGTATAGGTGAAGGCTTTTAGTATAAGCATTAAATGAGGCTGCACAGATTTCATGGGAGCTGTAGGACCGTAATGGGGAGATGCACTTCATTCAAATTTCATACTGCATAGCTTGTTCTTTTCCAAATAGGTTTTGTTTAATGTAACTTGTTGTTTTGATAGCTTCCTCTCCTCCCCCTCACCATACTTCCCAACTTCTCTCTGTAAATGTATCAACATGGTAAAAAAATTCCATAAACAGAGATAACAAGCTTTTTGTGTGCTCATATGCATTGTTATTCATAGAACACATTAAATGCCTAAGGTTACCACTTTTGGTCCTTAAGGGATGTAGTAATAAAAATTCAACAGCCATTTTTTTCCTAATCAGAATTCTATACTGAATGCATCTACTTTGGAACTAGCAGATTAAAAAAAGGTGATAAAAGCTCTGCTTGGCTGTTAGCTATTTTTATTTTTTCCTTTTGAGTATCATAAATTGCTTGCATAGAAATCCAAGTTAGAGACTGTCTTGTTTTTAAGAGAAGATGAATTTTGAATTAGAATTCTAAGTGAATTTTTTATAGGAGAGAGAAACCTTGAAGCACCCCTCAGTACCTTGTATTTGTCTAGTACTTAAGTAACCTTTGGTCTTAAAACATGTGTATAATTAATATTTTACCGTAGCTTTCTAAATATATTTTCTTACCAAATTAACTGCCTGCTTCAATGTGTTTTGGGAGGGATGCACTTGTCCTTAAAGTTATATAGCTGAGGAAAATAGGTTTTGTCTTCCATGCAAAGCTTGTTGTTGCCCCAAATAGGCGCTGTAGCAAAGTGATTATTTTCTGATCCTAGGCCCCGTGAGACCCTTGGCACTCAAACGGGTGCTTTGTGTGTGCTGTCCTGCTGGAATTGGGTTTTCTTGCTGTCAGTTAATGTAATAAAAGCATGTATGTAGAGTTTCCACTTGGCTAATGTTCCAAGGTGGGTCACTGATCTGAAGTGATCAAAGTTTTTGGGGCCTACATTAGGTTCTTACAGCTTGGCGTGTCTTTGGCTACGTGACAAAATCAGAGCTAAGGTAGCTACTCATAGTTAGTGGTAGTTTGGTTTTCTGAGTTTTTACTGCTTTGAAAATAGACCTGTGCATCCTGGTGGGACCCGCTGGAAGTTGGCAGGAGGGAGGTGGGGCAGATAAGTGTCACTAGGCTGTGAGGCCACAGCAGGGCTGTAATTTTAAAAAAGGTTGAAATTGCGTGTTTTCATATGGTTCCTCTTCTTTTAGCCAGTTCCTCTGGCAGTGTGGTGTCACTGGTGGAGGTCAGGGGGTCTGGAGGTGACCCCACAAAGGGTGATGGGTCAGTGCCCCTCTGGCATGGGAGGTGTGGGAATTCCTGGTGAGTCCTTTGCAGTGCCCCCCAATTTTCATCATCCCAGAATTCCCCCAAAAGGGGGTCACCTGTGGGTGCTGGGAGTGGCTCTGCTGCTGGGACAGGCAGCTCCTGCTGTGGCAGGCGGGTGGAGGGAGCATTTCCCTGCCACTCCAGGGGCTCACAGAGCCTGGAATGGCATAGAATTCCTGTTTTCCAGGAAATGGCTGAGACAAAGAGTGAATGTGGCAGCCTACTCAGAACACAGATTTATGGCTCAACTCCTGACCCATCCTCAAATGCAGCCATCTGAGCTCTGCATTATAATGTAGGATTAAATTTGCCTGTCCCTTTGAGTTGCTAGTGGCATTAGTCATCTACCCTATAAGTGTCCAGCTGGGTTGCTGAAATAACTGGTTTTCTCCCCAAATCTTCTTTCCAGTGCTTCTGCATTGGTTCCTGCATGTTTCTGGTCTTTTTAATACCTCTTACCATGCCTGTATTTATTTTCTTTTAATTCTTTTAAAATATATGTTAGCAGATGGTTTTAGAAGAAATATTTTGGGAAATCTTTAGCTTTCCCATGTGGCTTAGATTGCTCAATCTCTTGGTCGTTCCATTTGATTGCAAAGTCAACATTGCTTTACTTTTAGAAAGAAGTGTTATTATTCATATGTAGATACCTGAAATCCCCCCAAAAAAAAAAGCTCTCAAAAATGCACAGTATCCCCCCCATCATGACAGATTTGAAGTGCTCCATTGTTCAGGCACAAACCTCTTGCAGTTGCCTCCTTAAGTCAGTTGTTCCCTGTTCTGTTCTCATAATGATATTCATGCAAGATTAGAGATAATGGTGTTTTCTAGTAAGCACAGCCCAAGGTGAATTCTGTTGGCTAAATAAATAACTGGATTTTTTAAAACAACAAAAAAAGGGCTAGATGGTGTTTGAAACCATAACTTCAGAGTCAGCTTTCTAAGTTCCTTCTTGGAATATGTACCCAGCTTGGCTTAGTTTAGTGGGGTTTTGATTGGGAATTTTCATATTCTGAAAATTGTGTGGTTTTGGTACAAATTAGCATTTTGTGCCTCATTTAATGGAATAATTGACTTTGCTGTTGGCTAAACGTTTTTGGGTTTTTTTGTTTGTGGAGCTGTGCTTGCATCTCAGCAAGTGCAACTCCTTGACCTTGGAGTTTGCATCAGGACAGTTCTGTAGTTTGAGGATGGTGACATTTTCACACTAATGGGTAAGTTTGGACTGGTGAAGGGAATCGTGGGTGACTTGGAAGTTCTTTCAGTTCTGTTGGGAAGGCACAGGATGCATTCATAACCAAGCAGTGGCAGGAGCCCTTGTTTTCCACAGGGAAGGGCATGAGGCTGTGGGGGAGCTCTGCATGTGTAGTAAACATTTTGGCTGTTTAGTGTTCCCTTCTGCCCTGAGCAACCTGTTGTGTGATCTAAACAGGGTAAATATAAATTCTAAGGAAAGGTGCTGGGGAGGCCTTGTTAGCACTTTGCCATGAAAACAGCAGTAGAGTCCTTGGATGCTGGTTCATTCCAGCCTTGCTTGTCAAGGAAACGGAGACAATTATCGTAGGTAAACCACGGGAATTTAAAATGGATCCAATAATCTGATTTTATCTCTGATTCTGTGACTATTTATCAATTCCCTGTGCTGTCAGGGAGGGAAATTAGGTTACCTAGTACCGTTAGTTGTCTCCATCTCTGGTTTTTTATCATTATTTCTTCTGTTGTTGCAACTGTCCTACAAATTTACGTGCCAGTGAGTTAATAGATGAATATCTAGAAAGGCTCTTCGTGCATGTGAGCTTGCAGAAATCTTTCACATGCTGTTTAAGCCCAGTGATGCTTGTTACAGAGATGCTGGCTTTGCTGTACTGCTGAGTCCCTTCTGCAGACACCAAATTTACACTTTTCAGCCCTGTTGTTCTCAGTGTCTTGCAAACCCCAGTGACTGAATCTTTAGAGTAAAATGCAGGATTCCAGAAGTGACTGTGGGGAGCAGATGACAGATACTGTATGGCCATTTTTATTTGCATGATGTTACTTCTTTAGGCTCATTTCTATTAATTAGGTTTTAATCATTTCCCAGAGAAGAGATCCTTCACACAGCCAGAGCAGGCTTCTTTCCATCCTAGCTCTCTCTCAGGGTGGTGGGCAGGTGGTTGAAATGTTCTGTCTCTATAACAGTTCTGGGTTAGGAGAGGGAAGCATTTGAATTTTCCTTGCACTAAAGGGACTCTGAAGCATGGCACACTTGTGTCTTACTGGATTATCATTACTTCATAGCTGAGCTGCTTCTTTGAGCTCTGGGAGGAGGACACAGAATTTTCAGGAGCTACTGTAATGAAAGAGTGGAAGTTAATATTGTTAATACTAATTTTACTATAATTTCCACATAGTGTTTTGCAAGTTGTCTTCCAGTTGTGCTTTTTTCACCTCTATGTTTCTGGGGACGGTACTAAAATCTTTACAAGAAGGAAGCAGCCCCCCTTCCCTCTCTGTTCTTGCTCTCTGTTTCTGGCTGGTCACTGTGTGATGCTGGCAGTGACCCTCTCCCAAAAGCCAGGCAGGATTCACCACATTCACCAACAGTGTGGGCTGAGCAGAAGGTTGAAATTTTGTCTTGCCATCATTTATTATTGGGAGATATTTGCTGAGAGCTTTGAGAAAAGGTTGGGTTTGGTTTGGACTGAATGTGGATTTGGATGGATCAAACTGAAATGTTTTTTTTGTTGTTGTTGTTGTTGTTGTTATATTCAGAAAGGGTCTTTTTAAGAGTTTAATTGCTAGGAGAATGTGATGGGGTGAATAATGACGTGATGGACTTAATCTACAGAAGCCCCTGGATCTTGGGAGCAGACCTAAGAGTTGGCATGCTTGTAAGTTCTGAAGAGAAGTCAGAGAGGAGAAAAGAGAGTGAAACCCTGTAAATATCACAGGAGGAGGAGCACTTACATTTCACTTAAACAGGGAAGAGAAGGCAGCCCCTGGTGCCTGACCCACATAACCACTCAGTGCCTTAATGCCTCTGAACAGAAATGATCAGCTCAG